TTCCATGTCCCCAACTACATCCTCCCAGATCTTGGCCAGGAAAAGACGGAGAGGCGTAAGTCTGTTTACATTCCTTTTTTTTGGGTGGTGGTTGGTGGTGATGGGTGGGGTGGGTGGGGGTAGGGTTGTTGTTTGTTGCTAACGGAACCACCTTTATTTTGAAATTTACATTCGTCATGAAAGTATCCGCCTGTGTTTTGCCTGCTTCCCTACAGATCATTGAGAAGCGCCGACGAGACCGGATCAATAACAGTCTGTCGGAGCTGAGGAGGCTGGTTCCCAGTGCTTTTGAGAAGCAGGTAATGGAGAAAGTGGGTAGAACTCTTCCGTATAGCTCTCTGCACCTTCCGGACCGGCCTCCCCCACCGCACTCCACCTCACCCTCAGGAATCTGATACTCATCCGTGTTTATTTTTTAAAAAATAGGCGTATGTAAAGGAGATGAATTCATACACCGACAACGTATTTACCCAGAGAACTGTGTGGTTTAGCACACACGTGACGATTTATAACATTATAACGTTGTTTGGTGTGCTTTTTTAAAGTTGTCGCCTCCAAAAGCATTTGATGCTAAATCATCCTTAACCTCTAGGGATCTGCTAAGCTTGAAAAAGCCGAGATCCTGCAGATGACGGTGGATCACTTGAAGATGCTGCACACTGCAGGAGGGAAAGGTAACCTCCCCGTGGGGTGGGGGCTCCGAGCGCCCTGGGCGGAGTGAGCGGCGGCAGCGTGCTGCAGGATTGGCGCAGTGTCGGCCTTATTTTCACCCTATGCTTGGCGGGTGGAGAGAGAACCCTGTGCCAATACATTTTCAAATGCACCCAGGATTTTCTCCAGTGAGTTAATCATCCCATGGCTCTGCACATGAAGTCGTGCACAGTCCACATACAGCACCCTCTTTGGGAAAATACCTACTGTATTTTGTGAGTTGCTTTAAAGTGGCGAAAGCCCTGATTTAAATGAGGTAGCTCTCACATCTTCCCTTGGCAGTTTTGAGAAAAAGCATTCAACAATTTTTTTTGTTTTGTTTTAAAGGAGATGGTATTAATTTTATGTGCCAGGATTATAAAAATGAGCCTAGGACTCGAGAAAAGACACTTGTGGTTAAATAACAGAAGGTCGCAGGGGTCTGTGTGTCTGTCTCTGTGTGTCTGTCTCCAGCCGGAAAATGCTTTACTGAGGACCGAGCTCCTCAAAGCTCCGTGATGATCACTTACATCTGTGTGTCTAATGAATTTCACTGCTCTGTGGTTTCTCCGTCCTTGATGTGTTTTTTGTTGTTGTTGAGGGAAAACATTAAAGGAATGAGCATAGCTTCATCTATTGGTAGGGTATAATTCCAATTTCGGCTTGGCAGTTTCTAATTGGACTTTGAACTTGCACTAGCACATGCACACTGCTCACGTTAATTAATGCAGAGAATTTGGTTGACTCCGCATACTGGGTTTTCAGATTGTAAGGATGTAGGTATTTGCCAGGAAGGGCTCTCCGCCATTGAGATTGAATAAATGAGGGAAATTATTATGAGGAAAACGCTGAGGTGCCCCTGTCTCGTGTTTTCTCCCCTCAGGCTATTTTGACGCGCACGCCCTTGCGATGGACTATCGGAGTTTGGGATTTCGGGAATGCCTGGCCGAAGTCGCCCGTTACTTGAGCATCATTGAAGGATTGGACGCCTCTGACCCGCTTCGAGTTAGACTCGTCTCCCATCTCAACAACTACGCCTCCCAGCGGGAAGCCGCGAGCGGCGCCCACGCCAGCCTTGGACACATCCCCTGGGGGAGCGCCTTCGGACATCACCCGCACATCGCGCACCCCCTCTTGCTAGCCCAGAACGGCCCCGGGAACGCTGGCGCGGCGGCCTCGCCTTCGGAAGCGCACCCCCAGGGCAGGTTGGCGTCCTCACACCCGGAGGCGCCCGCCTTGCGAGCTCCGCCTAGCGGCGGCCTTGGACCAGTGCTCCCTGTGGTCACCTCCTCCAAACTCTCCCCGCCTCTGCTCTCCTCGGTGGCCTCGCTGTCCTTCCCCTTCTCTTTCAGCTCCTTCCACCTGCTCTCGCCCAATGCACTGAGCCCTTCGGCACCCACACAGGCAGCAAACCTTGGCAAGCCCTATAGACCTTGGGGGACTGAGATTGGCGCTTTTTAAAGAACTGACATTGTCTTAGAAAGTGGGAGGACGGGTAAGCTTAACAATCCCAGCTGAGCTGGACTGTTGCCAACATCACCTTAAAGTCATCAGTTAAAGTAAAAAGGAAAAAGGTACACTTTCAGTTAAACTCTGTTTAAAGACTAAAGGTCTGTTGGTTTTTGTGGTTTTTTTTCCTTTTTAAATTTTTGTACGATGTGTATTAGAAGATTGGAAAAAAAAACGGTTGCTAAGATTTTGTTCAGGACATTAAATGGACACAGTAAGTATAAACCAACACTTTGTGATAGGTTTAGATTGTGCCTGATTGACTTTGTAAACACATCTAAGAATGATTCCGTTTATTGCCTCAACCAATTTTGGACAATTTAACCAGTAATTTGTTTCTCCTTGTATAATTAGTTTCTTTTTAGAATTAATTTTTTCCAGACCACTATGCTTAATGTTAACATAATTCTATTTGTTAATATTTTGACAGATTAAGTTGTTGTATAAAAAAAAACTTTTTTTTTTCTTTATTGGGGGGGCGGGGGGAGGGACTTTTCCTGAATTTCATATTTTTGAACAAAGCGTTGACAAATCAGATGATCAGCTTTATCCAAGAAAGAGGACGTCTCAGTTCCATGCGTCCTATAGCAAACAGTAAAGTGCGTGTGTTCAAGACCTTCAGTGAGTGGACTTCCCCCTCTGAGTCCCAGTCACTGCTGTCCTCTGCTGGAACTTGAATTTCTGATGTGGTTTGGAGAGAGCCCCTGGCAGTTTAAGCCTCTGCTAGAATATTGGTGGGGAATGAGAGTGAAGAGAATCTCACAGAATATGCCCCACCCCAACCCCTGTTTCCTAGCCCCCTGCAATGCAATGGATGTGGAATCCCATAAACCTCACCTTCACACACGGTAGAGTGGATAAGTGATCGTGGTGTACAAGTGGTCAATGGAGAGGCACAGTGGAACCCGTTAAAGGCACAGCCTAATTTCCCGCGAACGTCCATATTTTCTTCCAACACGGAAGCTTTCATGTTGTGTCTCTCTTCAGTGGTCGTTGAGATAACCTGAAAGGGCTTTGCTGTGCTTCCTGTGGTTCACTTCATTGATGCAGGCAATCCAAGGGTCATTTTACGGGCTTATTCCTTGAGCAGGGCAGCTTGACCTCCACTGAACTGGGTTTGACCTCTGTTGTACTCATGTGTGCTGTGACTAAATAAAAAAGAACAAATTATTCTGCTGTACATCTCTTCCATCTATTGACTAAGAAAAAAGAGATTTTCTCTCATTTTCATTCTGCCTGGGTGATCCATTTTCTTAGGTGTGCAAGTCTCTTTATTCTTGGAATTCTGAACTGTGTGAGCCTGAGCTGTTGAATCAGGTGACTTCATTCCAGCTCAGAGCTCTGGCTTCTCTCAGAAGACCTTTAGCCAGAACGCCAAATGGCAGGGCTCGAAATGGGCCGTCCAAGGGCAAGGAAATCGCTCTAATTAGACTGGGATTTGCCAAGGCAGGAAAGCACTCCGGTGATAGTCTTTGAAAACTTGTGTGGACCACTTGACAATTGTATACTGAGGGCACCTACTGAGTGTTCAGTTATACGCTAAACAGAAAATTCATTTCATTTATTTATTCATATTGAAAAAGCAAGACAAAAAAATCCCCCAAACCTTGCTATCTGAGGCTCCGTGGGGGGGACTCTATGGGAACTGGCCTGGGGAGTGAGGAGGTGGCAGGCTGTAATTTCACACCTGCACAACTCCTCCTCCCCTGTCTTGTTTCTAAGGAGTTTGCTTAACCCTTCAGTTGCGTTTGACTTAGAGATGTGTAGTGAGGAAACGGACATAACCTTTAGGTTAGAACAGAGGCAGTGAGACTGCCTCCGGAAAGAGGGGTGCCTTCCCATTTCCTTACCCATAGTTCTGCCCTTTAAAGAGCCACAGCCATGAGAGCGGGGACCCTAGTGGTGCACTGGCTCAGGTGCTGGGCTGCAAATCTAAACATTGGTTCAAACCTGTGGGAGAAATATGGGGAGCCCAAGAAGTTCCAGTCTGAACAACTGAATTGAGTGGTCTCTGAATTGAAGTGGTCTTGATAGCAGTGGGTTTGGGTTTTGATGCCCTCGAGGGAAAAGGCAGTTTCTGAGCTTGGTAGGAGCTTGGCTTGATCTTGAGGCTGGAGGACGAGGAGAGGGAGAAAACTTGCTCTGGCAGATGACAGAAACCAGCCTTTTATCTTTGCTCAACCACTGAGTTCTCCCTTCCCTCTCAAATTAAAAATGGAAGATAGGAAGGCAAACTTGGCTCTGCGCTTTGAGATTAAACACAGGCTCCTGGATTCCCGGGAAGGAAGAAAAATGAATTTTCTGTTTGGCATATAACTGAACACTAGGTAGGTACCCTCGGTATACAATTGTCAAATGGTCCATAGTTTTCAAACACTGTCACCTGAGTGCTTTCCTGCCTTTGCAAACCTCAGTCTGATTTGAGCTATTTCCTTGCCCATGAAGGCCCGTTTAGAGACCCACCAATTGACATTTGATGCTGCAGTGTCTGTGAGCGCAAGTTTCACATGCTAGACCCTACTCAACATTTCACCCACCACCTGGCCTCAGATATGGACCCCAATGTGGTACAGCGTTCTGTGCTGAGAGCAGCCTGGTGACACAGGCATTATTTCTGTCTAATGATGCTGTGCACTCATACTTTGAGAACTGAGATGCGCCTGTCTCAAGCCATGGTATTTTCTATTGCCTCAGATGCATGTGAAAGCTGGACATTGCATAAGGCAGTCTGAAGGAGAATTGGGGCATTTGAATTATGGTGCGGGTGGAGAGTGTTGAAAGTACCATGGACTGCCAAAAGAACCGACAGATCTAGCTTGTTAGAAGTATAGGCAGAAAGCTCCTTAGAGCCAAGGATGGCAAGACTTCATCTCCCTTTGGCCATGTTGTGAGGGGAGACCAGTCCTTGGAGAACCTGGTAAGCGAGCGGGGCAGCGGGAAAGAGGAAGACCCTCGACAAGGTGGATTGGCACAGTGGCTGTAACAATGGGTTCAACCGAGATTCATTGTGAGCGGGGTGCAGGACTCGTCAGTGTTACTCTCCGTTGTACAGAGGGCCGCTATGGGTCAGAGCTGGCTCGATGGCACTTACAGAGTGACAGGAGAATTCTTTATGAAGTGCTAGCTTCGTTTTAGACACTTGGATTACAAATGGCATCACGGCACAAGTGAGCAGCATTGTCCTTGCACTGTCAGAATTGCCAGCGAGCTTTGAGACCTGGATGGAGAGGGGATGGGTGCCTGTCTTGGAGCTCAGTCTGCTGAGAGCTGGGGAGCTGCACTGGCCACATCAATGCTCCCTGCATCTGGAGCCGGTTGCTGCTTTCTCCCCATCTCTTGGAGGGCAGGGTGGGGAGGAAGATCGTCTAGGGGGCTCATTTTCTAGATTGTGTCGTTTTCCCGAGAAACATTGTGGTTTCTTTATAAATCCTTTGAAGTTGACCGATGGCTAGGAACTTAACATTCCTAGCTAAGTTCATCAGATGGTGGGTGACGTGTTGAGAAAGGTCTAGCATGTGAAACTTACAATCACAAAAACAAGGCGGGCGTCTGTTCCCTTCCTGGGAATCCAGGAGAATTGGAGCTTCCTGCGCAGGGGGGTGGGATTGAGGCTATTAGCCAATATCATGAAAAAAGAAGAGGAAGAAGAACATAAGAAAACGCCCCCTTCTATTCTGACTTGATGCAGTAAAAGCCATTAACATGCATTTACTGTCACTGAGTCCATGGTGATGCACCGTGACCCTGTAAGGCTGAGTACAACCCCCGTGAGTTTCTGATTTACCCTGTCTGTAAATCTTTACGGGAATTGAGAGCCCTGTCTTTTTCCCTCAGTTTTGAACTGCTGAACTTTCTGTTAGCATTCCAACTTGCAACTACTATGCCTCCCATCCCTCATCACCTCCCCCCTGATTAACATTAGGGTCCTTTGATGGTAATAAACATGCTTCTATATTATAGACGTTTATTCCAAGTACATATATGTAAGTGAAAAACTTTAAGTGGTTCATACTGTTTCCTTATGAGGAAAACTTCACCGGTCATAGAGAATCATGAAAGGCCTCAATAATTGTCTACTTAAGTTCCTTAAGTGTATTACTATGGATTAATGAAGTGAAGTATGGGGGGGGGGGCAGAATTATTGCATTTCAGACAAGTTGCTTCGTATGCATGTGAAAGCTGAACAATGAATAAGGAAGATCAGAGAAGAATTGGTGCATTTGAGTTATGGTGTCCCTGAAGAATAATAAAAGTACCAGGGATGGCCAGAAGAAGCCAGAAATCCGTCTTGTGTGAAGTATAGCCAGAATGTTCCTTAGAAGCAAGGATTTCTGCCTTTCACATAATGTGTAATCAGGAGGGCCCAGGCCCTGGAAAAGAGCCTCCAAATCATGGATTGACACAGAGACCCTCCAAATCATGGATTGACACCGTGGCTGCCACAGTGGCTCCAGCATCAGAGCTGTGAGCATAGACACTCCTAATAAGCAATAGGGGGAATATGCAAATTAGAACCACTTTATGACTGAAACAGTGGTAGGGAACCCCATCCTAAGCCAGGGACTACTTGAACCAGAAATACAGATGACTTGAATGTAAAATCCCTCAGGACCTTTTAGAATGAGCCCTGGGAGCCCTATGAGATAAGCATTGGCCTCTGAACAGCAGGTTTGGCAGTTTTAACTCACCAGCCACTGCGTAGAGTAAAGATGCTCCTGGCAGGATGCTGCTCTCGTCTCTACTGCTCCTGTGGAACTCATCGGGGTGGTCCCTGGAGTTCTAGAAGTCTCTAAGATCTTCACCATTATTAGCTTTTGAATATGCTTAATGAATAAACACCTTCCTATAATAGAAGGAGCCCTGACAGGTTGTGTAGTGAGCTGTGCAAACAGCTGCTCACACGCAATAAACTGTTAACCACAAGGTCAGCGGTTCAAACCCTGGAGCAGCTCTGTGAGAGAAAGCCGAGGCTGTCTACTCTCGTATAAATTTAAAGGATTGGAAATCCAAAGGGGGTAATTCTACTCTGTTCTACAGGATTTCTATGAGTCAGAACCGACTCGATGGCAGTGAGTTTCAGTTTTTAAAAAAATCATCATCAGATTTTATTTCATAGTAATAGGAGTACGGCATGGACTCTGTCTCCTGGGGACCTCACGTCTCACCTGGGGTAGAACTATAGACCTGTACTCCACAGGGGTTTTAAGTGCGTGTGCTTTTGGGAGTAGTTCACCAAGCATTACTGATGAGGTACCTCTGCCTGGATGAACTTCCCAACTTTTGGTTAGCCCCAAATGTGTTAACTCTTTGCCCCAAGCAGGGAGCTGTGTATATCATGTAGAGATAAAGGACAGTGGTTTGTTTCTTTAAAAATTACTTCTAGGTTCTTAAAATTTGTCAAGGAAAAACAAAGAAATGAGAGAGAACGCTAAGACCTTTTTGGATGGTTTCAGCATTTCACAAGAACCTCTTCTGCTCTTGAGTCGGTCCTGTGTCCATTTCACCAGGGAGGGTTCTCAGCCTGGTGCCTTTAACTGAAAGAGCCAGGGTTTAGCTTGCTCATGACTCAGCACACGGAAGCCCTAAAAGGCGCCATCTGATTTCAGGAAGTTAGCAGTCCCAGCACAAAGCAAGCTGTTTCGAACCCAACTTGAAATATAAGGCCTGCCTTGATCTTGAGGAGCTACAGCGTTGTGCAAACACTCCGCCTGCTTCACTGTTCTGCTTGGGCACGGGGGTGGGGGGGTAAGGGGGTGGGGGCGTGGGGGGGATGGCAACAGGGGAGAGAGAAGCAAAAGGAAAAGAAACCTTGGCCCTTCGTTTCAGCCGCTTGTAGGCACTGACCTGCATTTGCACCTTTGCCACAGAATGTCGTGTCCCCCCCCCCCTACCTACCCAGCCCACAAGTCCCAGCAAGACTGAGATCAGCAAGTGTCCCTCAGAGGTATGTCTGGGGAATATGAGCAGGTTTCCAGATTTTGTGCTGATAGATTGTGTTATGTATCATTCCATGCTTCCATATAGTTCTTTGGTAAATCTTTCTTTCACATTTGCCAACCCAAAGCAGCTCAAGTTGATTCTGACGCATGGCCACCTCAAGTGTCTCCGAGCAGAATTGCACTCCCGAGGGTTTTCTAGGATTGGGACTTGTGGAAGGAGATGGCCGGGCC